TTTTTTTTTTTTTTTTCCCTTCTCAGGGAGCTAAATGTGCAAACAAATCTGAAGTTTGTTCATACCTCTTTCCATGGAGTTGGACATGACTACGTGCAGTTGGCTTTCAAGACGTTTGGTTTTCAGCCTCCCATTCCAGTCCCTGAACAAAAAGATCCAGATCCAGACTTTTCTACAGTAAAATGCCCAAATCCTGAAGAAGGAGAATCTGTGCTGGTATTTTTCTTTCTACATCATCAGATTTCTATGAGCTTTTCTGTGTTTGGATTGAAAAACAAACCACAGAATGATCTGGGGTTGGAAGGGACCTCTGGAGATCATCTAGTCCAACCCCATTGCCAGAGTAGGTCCACCCAGAGCAGGTCCCACAGGAACGTGTCCAGGTGGGGTTTGAATATCTTCAGAGAAGGAGACTCCACCACCTCTCTGGGAAGCTTCTTCCAGGGCTCTGCCACCCTCACAGGGAAGAAGTTCCTCCTCACGTTGAGGTGGAACTTCTTATGCACAAGTTTGTGCCCATTTCCTCTTGTCCTGTCCCTGGGCACCACTGAAAAAAGCCTGGCCCCATCCTCCTGACACCCACCCTTGAAGGATTTAGAGGTGTTGATCAGATCCCCCCTCAGTCTTCTCTTCTCCAGACTGAAAAGCCCCAAGTCCCTCAGCCTCTCCTCATCAGAGAGATGCTCCAGGCCCCTCATCATCTTTGTAGCCCTCTGCTGTCCCCTCTCCAGCAGTTCCCTGTCCTTCTGGAACTGGGGAGCCCAGAACTGGTCCCAGTGCTCCAGCTGGGGCCTCCCCAGGGCAGAGCAGAGGGGCAGGATGACCTCCCTCCACCTGCTGCCCATGCTCTTCTTGATGCCCCCCAGGAGACCATTGGGCAAAGCCCATTGCTGGCTTATGGTCATCCTGTTAATGACCAGGACTCCCAGGTCTTTTTCTCCAGAGCTGCTCTCCAGCAGGTCCCCCCCAACCTGTCCTGGTCCATGGGGTTATTCCTCCCCAGGTGCAGGACCCTACACTTGCCCTTGCTGAATGGTCCTCTACCCCCAACTCTCTAGTCTGTCCAGGTCTCACTGGATGGTTGCCCAGCCTTCTTGTGTGTCAGCCACCACTCCCACTTTGGTGTCACAAGCAAACGTGCTGAGGGGACACTCTCTTCCCTCACTCAAGTCATCGATGAATATATTGAAGAGGACTGGACCCAGTACTGACCCCTGGGGAACACCACTTGTTAGAGACCTCCAACTAGACTCTATGTCACTAGTCATGGAGTCTTTTGGGGAAGAGAACAGGCAGTACCTGGCTTTCAGCTGTGTTAATACATTGTCAATCCATATGAGATTTTTCTTTCACTGCATGTTATATATAAGTAGGAAAACTGTGAATTTATTTGCTCTTATGATTTTTTTTTTTCCCCTCTTCCTCTTTTCCCACCAGGAGTTGTCCCTGAGGCTTGCAGAGAAAGAAAACGCTAGAGTAGTAGTGGCCACCGACCCAGATGCAGACAGACTAGCAGTGGCAGAACAACAGGAGAAGTAAGTGATTCATCTTTTATTTTCTTTCTTTCTGCAGAAGAGGTAATGAAAAATCACAAAATGTCCCCAAATAATAGACAGGTTCACACATTCAGCCCTCTGTTCCCTGTTGTGACTTAGCTGTTTGGATATTGGAGTTGTCCCTGAGGCTTGCAGAGAAAGAAAACGCTAGAGTAGTAGTGGCCACCGACCCAGATGCAGACAGACTAGCAGTGGCAGAACAACAGGAGAAGTAAGTGATCCATCTTTTATTTTCTTTCTTTCTGCAGAAGAGGTAATGAAAAATCACAAAATGTCCCCAAATAGTAGACAGGTTCACACCTTCAGCCCTCAATTCCCTGTTGTGACTTAGCTGTTTGGATATTTTTCTTGCCAGCTTCATCTTTTGGTGTAGATCCACCTGAAATAATGTATTTTAAGAAAATCAGTGTATAAGTCAGAAAAGATTAGATGAAATACTTGCCAGTAGTCCCCCGACCTGCTAGTCACACTCTTCCTGATGCCCCCCAGGATGCCCTTGGCCTTCTTGGCCATCAGGGCCTGTTGCTGGATCATGGGCATCCTGTTGTCCACCAGGACTCCCAGGTCTTTCTCCTCAGAGCTGCTCTCCAGCAGGTCCCCCCCAACCTCTCCTGGTCCATGGGGTTATTCCTCCCCAGGTGCAGCACCCTACACTTGTCTTTGTTGAAGTCCATCAGGTTCCTCTCTGCTCTCTCTGCCCAATTTGCTGTTGTCAACTCTTTGTTGTTGTTTTGTTTTTCCCTCGTTTCTTCATATTGAATAGCAATTATTTTTCTTCCACTAACAGGCCAAAATTCTGATCGTTGTGTAAGTAACTGTCTATAACAGTGCAGTTGCTCAGGCCTTGCCTGACTGCAATGTATAGACTGCTCTAATTGTGTTTGATTAATTAAAAAGACCCGAGCTGGTTTTTAAATACTTGATTCCTATCTTTGCTTGCGAACGGAACGCGCTGGGCTTGTAAATCATTGAGATGTGAAAAATGTGGAGTCCTGGTAGTTCAATGGCTTCGTATAGAGCAGCTTGTGAATCGTGTGCTGAGATTCCTGTTGTTCCAGTGACTGCAGAAAGCATCTCCCCCTGAGTGGATCCTCCTGGAAAACATGAAAACACTCTTATATTTTTTATCCTTTCCTCAGTGGCTGCTGGAAGGTCTTCACGGGCAACGAGCTGGCGGCTTTGTTTGGGTGGTGGATGTTTTCTTGCTGGAAGGAAAACTGCTCTGAAGATGCTGATGTGAAGAACGTTTACATGTTGGCGACCACCGTCTCCTCGAAAATCTTGAGGGCGATTGCGCTTAAAGAGGGATTTCACTTTGAAGTAGGTGTGGGGTTTATGATGGCATTTTGGCAGAGGAAAATCTGATTCTCGTGTTCTGGAGCACTGGGTCCAGTTCTGGGCTCCCCAGTTCCAGAAGACAGGGAACTGCTGGAGAGGGGACAGCAAAAGACTACAGAGATGATGAGGGGACTAGAACATTTCTCTGATGAGGAAAGGCTGAGGGACTTGGGGCTTTTTAGTCTGGAGAAGAGAAGGCTGAGGGGGGATCTGATCAACACCTCTAAATCCTTCAAGGGTGGGTGTCAGGAGGATGGGGCCAGTCTTTTTTCAGTGGTGCCCAGGGACAGGACAAGAGGAAATGGGCACAAACTTACAAGAAGTTCCACCTAAACATGAGGAGGAACTTCTTTGCTTTGAGGGTGGCAGAGCCCTGGCAGAGGCTGCCCAGAGAGGTGGTGGAGTCTCCTTCTGGAGACCTTCAAAACCCTCCTGGACACGTTCCTGTGCAACCTGCTCTGGGTGGACCTGCTTTGGCAGGGGGTTGGGCTAGGGGGTCTCCAGAGGTCCCTTCCAACCCCATCTCATTCTGGGGTTCTTTATCTTCCCACCTCACTTATGACATTATAAAATGAAAAATAGATAAATTCCAGTCTTTTGGCTGGGACTTTTCACAGAATCACAGAATGCTACGGGGTTGGAAGGGACGTCTGGAGATCATCTTGTCCAACGCCACTGCCAAAGAGGTCTACAGGTTGCTCAGAAACGTGTCATAGAATCATAGAATTAACACGTTCCAACTTGCAGAGAGTGCTTTTTACGTAGAAAAACCTGATTTCAGCATCTGCAGTGTTTCTCAGTGAACGTTACAGTGAATGCAAAGCTGCAAGGAGGCTCTAACAGGTGACACAAATTAAAATCTAAATTACACGTAATAGAAATGCCTTTGTCTTGGCTATTTTCCTCAGGACAGGTTCTTCTAGTGTGGGCAACTTAGTGTGTTTACTGCAAAAATTGAATGCTTTTTGATGGATTTGTAACAAACACAGGTCACAGTGTTCCTTCAGGTGCCCAGATCACTATGAGGTTTTAAATCTGGTTTTACTTCGAATTGTGATGGAGAGAGGAACTCTTATGGTCAGGTCTTTCATGTAATTTCATTAAGGACTTGCTAAAAAAGCAAATGGGGGGATGCCCCTGCAGACTGACAGTGATTATTTTAATTCTTGTGTTCAAATTAAGATTCCAACTTGCAGAGAGTGCTTTTTACATAGAAAAGCCTGATTTCAGCATCTGCAATGTTTCTCAATGCACATTACAGTGAATGCAAAGCTGCAAGGAGGCTCTAACAGGTGACACAAATTAAAATCTAAATTACATGTAATAGAAATGCCTTTGTCTTGGCTATTTTCCTCAGGACAGGTTCTTCTAGTGTGGGCAACTTAGTGTGTTTACTGCAAAAATTGAATGCTTTTTGATGGATTTGTAACAAACACAGGTCACAGTGTTCCTTCAGGTGCCCAGATCACTATGAGGTTTTAAATCTGGTTTTACTTCGAATTGTGATGGAGAGAGGAACTCTTATGGTCAGGTCTTTCATGTAGTTTCATTAAGGACTTGCTAAAAAAGCAAATGAGGGGATGCCCATGGAGACTGACATTGATTATTTTAATTCTTGTGTTCAAATTAAGTACTTGCTGTGATTTCTGTGACTGTTGAACATTACCCATAAGGGAAGCAAGTGCTCTAAAGCTTAGCACAAACATGCAAAGTCACAGGTCTTATTTAATTCACATCTTAAATAAATCCATGTGCAATAGGAAAAAAAATATTTTGCCAAACAATGACGAATTAAAAACTAAAATTGAAAGCAGCTCTGAAAACTGTTTGAGTGACTGTCCAGATACACTTAATCGGGTTGAATATCACTGTCTTGTAGTGAATTTAATTATCTCACTAAATACTGTTCGTGTTTAATTTTTTTTTCCTGGGAAGGGAAATATTTGACTAGAAAACAGCTAGGAATTTACAGAACTCCTTGGTCTCCTCTAAATGTTTCCCCTCTTTGTAGAATCATAGAGTGGTTGGAGTTGGAAGGGACCTAAAAGATCATCGAGTTCCAACCCTCCTGCCGTGAGTACTTGCTGTGATTTCTGTGACTGTTGAACATTACCCATAAGGGAAGCAAGTGCTCTAAAGCTTAGCACAAACATGCAAAGTCACAGGTCTTATTTAATTCACATCTTAAATAAATCCATGTGCAATAGGAAAAAAAATATTTTGCCAAACAATGACGAATTAAAAACTAAAATTGAAAGCAGCTCTGAAAACTGTTTGAGTGACTGTCCAGATACACTTAATCGGGTTGAATATCACTGTCTTGTAGTGAATTTAATTATCTCACTAAATACTGTTCGTGTTTAATTTTTTTTTCCTGGGAAGGGAAATATTTGACTAGAAAACAGCTAGGAATTTACAGAACTCCTTGGTCTCCTCTAAATGTTTCCCCTCTTTGTAGAATCATAGAGTGGTTGGAGTTGGAAGGGACCTAAAAGATCATCGAGTTCCAACCCTCCTGCCGTGGGCAGGGACACCTCCCACCAGGTTGAATATCACTTTCTTGTAGTGAATTTAATTGTCTCACTAAATACTGTTCATGTTTATTTTTTTTTTCTGGGAAGGGAAATATTTGACTAAAAAACAGCTAGGAATTTACAGAACTCCTTGGTCTCCTCTAAATGTTTCCCCTCTTTGTAGAATCATAGAGTGGTTGGAGTTGGAAGGGACCTAAAAGATCATCGAGTTCCAACCCTCCTGCCGTGGGCAGGGACACCTCCCACTAAACCAGATTCCTTCTCTTCAAGAAGGATTCTTTCGAAGCTTTTGACTGCTTTTGTGTGATTTGAAGAACACTTTTCCCTCCCATCACCCAAAATTGCTGTTTATGTTTCTGGAACTTTTCCTTTTGAATAACTTTGTATCATCTGATGAGCACCATGGAAGATCTTATCTGATCTTGGAGGCACAGTCTCTTGAACACACTTGCTCCTTGATTTGATATTCATGTTCTAGTTGAATATTCACTAATAAAATGCTGTTCTGTGACTCTTTGTCTTAGATTCATAATCTGCACTTAAGTTACAACTTGTCTAATGTTTGTCTTTACTGTCCCTATTCTGTTGGTCAATTAATTAGATTTACATTCAGGGAAATTATTTCAAGATAAATGCTCTTCAGCTTCAGTATTTTGACTCTACAGTCTTTCCCATTGACCCTAGAATTCAGAATGATTCATTTTTCTTTCTTTTTTTTTTACATTTGAGACCTCAAATTTTTTTCCTGAACTTCCAAGTCTAGCATAGAAGATTCCCATTCGATGAAGCATCCTGGAGGTGAATGGAATAGTGGCTACACTGTCTTCTTGAACTTGAAACTAAATAGGAAAATGGGTATTTAATGCATTCTCTTTTTCTGTTTCAGGAAACACTCCCTGGTTTTAAATGGATTGGAAGTAGAGTAAAATATCTCCTAGATACTGGAAAAGAAGTTCTCTTTGCGTTTGAAGAGTCTATTGGTATGTGCATTAATGTAATAAAATGTAGAGGACTGTGGGGGAGAAATACACCGAAAAAGAAGTGATCTTAGTTATAAAAATAAACACAGAAGGGCTATTTTTGTTCTTTGGAGTTACTGGTATTGGTGTTTTGCTCTCATCAAATCCACTTGCCAACTATCATCATAAATGATATATAAATTCCTGATTCTGATATTGTGCTTGTGCAGTTTCCTGATAAAAACCTGTTCTGATACACGTTGAAAGTCCTGAGGTGCCAGAGTCAAACTGCTCTTTCTCTGTGGCTGAGATTAAGTGTAGGACAACTTAAATTTCACCATGCAAACATGATTGCTGCACCCAGCAAGTGCTTGCATTAGCTCTGCTTGGGGAGAGCAGTTTTAACTTGGATGAAATAATCCATCACCTTTCCTTGAAATAATCTCTTGTTGTGGCTGCTCGTGTGGCCACAGCAGATAATTTTTGCTGGTGTGGGAATGATACTGCATATTAAATGTCCTGAGGGCTACCAAGGCTGCACTTGGCCAAATGGTTGGCTTTTATTTCTTTGGAACTGAAACATTTGCTTGAATTTGAAAAGAGCTTAAGATACTCTGAGTAATACAGTAAAATCTGCTTCAGAGTCCAAACGTTACCCTATAAATACCCATTTCCACAGCTGTGAGAACTGCTTTCTTTTTTTCTGTTATTGTTTTTACCAAACAGGGGCTTTCTTTAGATACCAAATGAGCAGAAAACTTCCCAATCTTGTAACTGAAAATGTTAATCTGCTTTTAGGTATGGATATCACATATCGAAGACTTCTTATTTCTTGTGCTACGATCCTCCTACTATCAAGAGGATATTTGAGAAACTTCGGAACTTCGATGCCCCCGAATCTTATCCCAAATGTTGTGGCATTTACAATATTTTACACGTACGAGATATCACCACTGGCTATGACAGCAGCCAGCCCAATAAGAAATCGGTGAGTTACAGAGTATTTTTGCAGGAGAGGATCTGGTTTTGAAAGTTAAATCCACCAAGAACTACGCAGAAAGATCTACTGTGTCAACTCAGATGGCAGTAAAATTACCATCCTCAATTAAGGCTGTTTTACTGGGAGAATACGGCTTAAATATGAAATGACTTGGCTATTGTGTTAATTATTTTAATATAACAATGAGTGAACTTTATTAATTCATAGAATCATAGAATCATTGAGGTTGGAAGAGACCCTTGGGATCATCGAGTCCAACCATCTACCCTACTCTACAAAGTCCTCCCCTACACCATGTCCCTCAGTACCACATCTGAACGTCCCTTAAACACAGCCAGGGACGAAATTTTCCAGAATCTATTGCTTTTGCTTGACAGGAGGAGCTAACAGGGTTGAGACAGTGTAATAATAAATTGACTGTATATCTAGTCTTTAAGCTCATTTTTTTTCCTCTCTCCACACTTAAGAAATAGTTAGGAAAAAATAGGCTGAAAAACCCTCATTGACTTAAGGTTTTGTAAGTCAACTTTTATCCAGTTTTGCCCCAGAAAGCTTTTTTCTCCCCACCAAGTTGTAGTTTTGACTTCTGAAAAGAGATCTTTACAATGGAAAACTTGACAAAATCCTAGCTGTGTTAAGGTGCTGCCAATGTAGTATTATACTGAAATTAGTTTTTAAAAATGTAATAATTTAAAGCAGGAGTGCAGGAGGTAAAGCTAGAGGTAAGTTCCTTAATGCTTTCTGACCAAATTATATAGAGGTGACAGCAAACGTACTTCCCCTCCTTTTTCCTCCACCAGCACAGAGGATCTTCATTAGTCTCCTTTGTGACCATTAGTAAAATTTTTGCTATTGCTGTTTTGATCACGATGAACATGTGCTATAATACTAAAGACCCTTTCCAAAGAAGGGTTGACCCTTTCCAAAGAAGAATTGAAGTGAGCCTGATGCTTCTGCAGCTCTTTAGCTGCCTAACAGGCTTCTAGGTGTTGGAATTCCAATGTTATCCTGAAATACTAGATGTTTTCTCATTCTAAGTTGTTTTTTTCTGGTGCTGTTATGGACTGTGATCTTTGGTACTACAGCTGAGAATAATCTAGTAAATGTTTTTAGTTTGTCCCTCAGATGTTTTCTCATTCTAAGTTGTTTTTTTCTGGTGCTGTTATGGACTGTGATCTTTGGTACTACAGCTGCCACTTAAATATCATATATCCCAAAGGACTAAAGAGGACCTTTTTACCATGTTTCTGCAGTAAATTGAGAGAGAATAGAATTTTGCATATGGATCCACCAGGGCAAACTTTTCTCTTTTATTTGATTCATGCTATATAAATTCTCTTACCTCTGATGGGTGGTTAGATCTTAGTTGTGGTCCGTGTGCCTCTATTTAAACGCTTAATATTTTCACTGAAACACAGCCTGAGGGTTGTTAGAAGATCATGTGCTCTTCTTGCAGAGATTTAGGTTAAAGGAATGGCCTGTGTTCAATAGCTGTGGACACAATTCACAAAAATAGAACAAGGAACATGTTTATGTCGGAGTTAAAAGTCACAGAATCACAGAATCTTCTAGGTTGGAAGGGACCTTAAAGATCATCTTATCCAACTGTCAACCTAATTTTGACAAAATAAGCCCAGCTCATCAGCAGAAGTTCCTGTGCATTAATGGGATTAGCAGCAGAGTTACAGCAAATCATATATTCCATTCCTTTTCCACAGAAAGACAGCCTGTGGCCCTTAGAAACTTGAAACGAGACGCGACAGAGGGTTGGAACAAGATGATCTTCAAGGTCCTTTCCAACCTAAACCATTCTATGATCTCCCAGTCACTCTTATTTTTTTTAACCTGCAGAGAAGCAGGTTTGTGGAATGAGGAGTGGGTGGAATATAGTGAAGAAAAGCTTAAATTTCACTGTGCAAACATGATTGCTGCACCCAGCGAGCGCTTGCATTAGCTCTGCTTGGGGATAGCAGATTTAACTTTGAAATAATCCATCACATTCCTTGGAGGCTGTTGAAATAATCTGTTGTTGTGGCTGCTCACGTGGCCACAGCAGACAATTTTTGCTGGTGTGGGAATGATACTGCATATTAAATGTCCTGAGGGCTACCAAGGCTGCACTCGGCCAAATGGTTGGCTTTTATTTCTTTGGAACTGAAACATTTGCTTGAATTTAAAAAGAGCTTAAGATACTCTGAGTAATACAGTAAAATCTGCTTCAGAGTCCAAACGTTACCCTATAAATACCCATTTCCACAGCTGTGAGAACTGCTTTCTTTTTTTCTGTTATTGTTTTTACCAAACAGGGGCTTTCTTTAGATACCAAATGAGCAGAAAACTTCCCAATCTTGTAACTGAAAAATGTTAATCTACTTTTAGGTATGGATATCACATATCGAAGACTTCTTATTTCTTGTGCTACGATCCTCCTACTATCAAGAGGATATTTGAGAAACTTCGGAACTTCGATGCCCCCGAATCTTATCCCAAATGTTGTGGCATTTACAATATTTTACACGTACGAGATATCACCACTGGCTATGACAGCAGCCAGCCCAATAAGAAATCGGTGAGTTACAGAGTATTTTTGCAGGAGAGGATCTGGTTTTGAAAGTTAAATCCACCAAGAACTACGCAGAAAGATCTACTGTGTCAACTCAGATGGCAGTAAAATTACCATCCTCAATTAAGGCTGTTTTACTGGGAGAATACGGCTTAAATATGAAATGACTTGGCTATTGTGTTAATTATTTTAATATAACAATGAGTGAACTTTATTAATTCATAGAATCATAGAATCATTGAGGTTGGAAGAGACCCTTGGGATCATCGAGTCCAACCATCTACCCTACTCTACAAAGTCCTCCCCTACACCATGTCCCTCAGTACCACATCTGAACGTCCCTTAAACACAGCCAGGGACGAAATTTTCCAGAATCTATTGCTTTTGCTTGACAGGAGGAGCTAACAGGGTTGAGACAGTGTAATAATAAATTGACTGTATATCTAGTCTTTAAGCTCATTTTTTTTCCTCTCTCCACACTTAAGAAATAGTTAGGAAAAAATAGGCTGAAAAACCCTCATTGACTTAAGGTTTTGTAAGTCAACTTTTATCCAGTTTTGCCCCAGAAAGCTTTTTTCTCCCCACCAAGTTGTAGTTTTGACTTCTGAAAAGAGATCTTTACAATGGAAAACTTGACAAAATCCTAGCTGTGTTAAGGTGCTGCCAATGTAGTATTATACTGAAATTAGTTTTTAAAAATGTAATAATTTAAAGCAGGAGTGCAGGAGGTAAAGCTAGAGGTAAGTTCCTTAATGCTTTCTGACCAAATTATATAGAGGTGACAGCAAACGTACTTCCCCTCCTTTTTCCTCCACCAGCACAGAGGATCTTCATTAGTCTCCTTTGTGACCATTAGTAAAATTTTTGCTATTGCTGTTTTGATCACGATGAACATGTGCTATAATACTAAAGACCCTTTCCAAAGAAGGGTTGACCCTTTCCAAAGAAGAATTGAAGTGAGCCTGATGCTTCTGCAGCTCTTTAGCTGCCTAACAGGCTTCTAGGTGTTGGAATTCCAATGTTATCCTGAAATACTGACTCTGATGTAGGTGATGGGCCTTTCAGGCTGAAATAACTTGTTCTAGTCTCTTCTATTGGCTGATGGATGTAACCTGAGAGGATTTCAGTATGTTTATTTAGCTTTGTATGTACTAAATATTTTATTTTTTTCATAGAATCATAGAATGGTCAGGGTTGGAAGAGACCTCAAAGATCATCGAATTCCAACCCCCCCTGCCATGGGCAGGGACACCTCCCACTAGAGCGGTTTTGAATAAAACAAACCCAACCCCCCACTTTTGTGTTAGTTGGGGTGTTTTGTAGTAATATTTTGTTGTTTCTGTAGGTGCTGCCAGTGAGTAAAAGCAGTCAGATGATCACTTTTACCTTTCAAAACGGTTGTGTTGCCACCCTCCGGACGAGTGGAACGGAACCAAAGATCAAATACTACGCTGAGATGTGCGCGCTGCCCGAGCAGAGGTCAGTAGCAGGTCCACGTGCACCCCTTGCAAGATGCCTTTTGGGTTGAAAAGTCAGGATTTGAGCATCGATTTCCCTGCGTGGATGGGGATTCCTCTGCTGCCTCCTTGGAGACCTGAGCCTCAGTTCATTCTTCCAGCCTGTTAAACTGGCCAGTGATGCACATTCCTGCCCATAAGGGATGCCCTCTATAGTGGATAAGACAAGGAACTGAATTTTCAGCATGTTCTACAGTAGGAGACTTCTTTTATTAACCCAAATCCTCATTCACTTAGAATTAAAAAAGTGATGAAGTTGCGTTGCTGCTAGGAAATGTGCTTAAACCCAGGTGGATTCCTGTTGCATTTGGGGATCTGGTGGGTTGCTCTGAGCTACTGGATATTAACTAGAGCTCTGTCCCCTTTCGACAGCCAGATGGATTGAGCTTCTTCCAGTTTAAAAGGAGGGAAAAAATATAGGGTATATTTACACCATGGAAATTGAGTGTAAATGAAGAGCCTGTGTCTAGCTAATGGAGAGAAGCAGGCTCTTGAACTGGACTCCTAACCTAAATCCTGTGAGTACCTCTCCATTTAGACTTGTGTCCCAACATTCCTGTGGAGCAGAGACTTGAAAATAACATAAAAGGGTCTCTGATACAGAATTTATTTTAACTTATTGGCAGGAATTCAGGGTGAACGTATTTTCCTCATTGAATGTTTTGGTCAGATTTAGGTGGGCAGTGGACAGTGAGTGGCACATTCCCTTTGCTTGTGAAATGGGCATGTGAGGGGATACGCAGATCCATGCCTGGACAGCTTTCCATAGCTTTAAATATTTAAATATTCTTTAAAATGTAGTTTGTTGCTAGATGAAGGGCATTAACGTTGGTAGGGCCCATCTTTTGAATCCTGTTTGAAATTGTTCTGAATTGACCGTGGAATAACAGGAGGTCAGAGAAGTGGTAGGAGTTTTACATCCCAATTTTCTGAATTGCCAGAATCCTGTATTTATTTGGTCTTTCCCATTGTCTGGCCTATGAACGTGCTGCTTTTTTACATGGATATGGAAATTCTTACTTCAGTTAGAACGGGCTTCCCTGGAGCTGGGAATGGGCAAGGTACTGTTTGATGTAAAAGCTGAAGAAAAGGTAAAATATAATTGAGGCAAAGGGAAGAAATAAATGCTAGAAATATTACTCTTAACCTAATCTTAAGGTGAGGGCAAGAGGAGTAAGAGTAACGGGGAGGGAAAACAAAATATATGAGGATGGTTTGATGCCTCATTTGGGCTCCTGCTGCCTTTCACTCTGGTAAGTCAGAAAAATACATTGACCTTTAATTTTAGTGATAATATGGTTAATGACAATTATTATCTGGAACATGAAATTGAAAAGCTTTCAGGCTTCTCTGGTTCAAGGCATAAAATGGTCTATAGGAACCTCAAAAGGCATTCTTCTCCCTAATAGCTTTGCAAATATTTCTCTGAATTGCTGTTTATTGATTATTCTTAAAAGCTGAACATCAGGAAAGTCAGTTTTATTGCAGCGTTTTGGGGTATTTTCTTTTAAAGGAAGTGGTGACCTGAAGGGCACTAATATATTGCCAATTCCACAAATGAACAAAGCAGATGCAAATAAGTCTGTTTTGCCTTTTCTCTGTTAAAATCAGCCTGAGTTCCTCTCCCTCCAGTGAGACTTTGGGGGTGGGAGAGGGTTTTTTTGCATTTTTAAAGGAGTTTTGCAACCCGTTAGTGTTTGTGCATGCGGATGTTGGCTTTTTAACTTGAATTAATGTCTGGGCATTTAAATAGGGAAAGGATCAGTATATTTCAATGTCCTCTTGTGAGTGGTGACTCTTTGCCTGATTACTCAACCTCCCTAAACCACACTTTAGTCAAAATACAATCAGATACCCCTCTGGCTGCCGCGTAGAGAGGAATATCTAGTATCTACCTCTTCATTAGTAGCTTATTCTTACTTTTAAATCCATTTACAGTCCTTGTCTGACCAACCTTGGGTTGGTTTTGGTCGTTAGGTCTTTTTGCAAGCTTAGAGCCCTCTAGTGGCCATTATTTTTTTCATCAGTTTAGTTAAATTATTTAAAATTACTATTAAAATAGCCCTTATTGAAAGTAGCTTTAAAGGTTGGAGTCTCTACGCGTTGATGCTGGTAGAAAAAGACCAGAGCGAGTCCGTCACCATCGCATCTTCCTTGTTTTTCTTCTTTTTTTAATAGATGCCTGGCATTTATCAATAACCTGACGTGGGGTTGTTCTCTTTCTAGTGACAGAAACGTGCTGGAAGAAGAACTGAGGAAGCTGATTGAAGCTTTGATTGAGAATTTTCTTGAGCCCGATAAAAACGGACTGGTCTGGCGCTCTGCTTAGAGCTCCTCCCACCGGGAGGCTTCGTCGTGTTGAATAAAGGAACCAAGAACTCCATTTAACACGTGTGCGTGTGTGTACGTGTGGTAAACAGCTCCGTTTTTATTCTGTAAAGAAGAAGCATCCTTTTGTCAGATTTTTTCACCAAAGTCCGGGCTAGAAAATTGGAGTAAGGAGAAGAAGGGAGAGGAAAAGGATGGAATTTATTATTAACACTTTTGACCAAAAAGACTCATTAACCTGCACCAATGCAAACAAACTGCCCTTGTGGGTTTAAGGCAGATGATCTTAACCAGGAGATCTTGTCTTAAACTAAGTTTCAGGTACACCTTTTGTGTGAAAAGGCTTTAAAATAGCTCTGAACTGACAAAAAAAAGCCTGCTTCTTCCAAGCTGTTGTGCGTGAGTGCGGGTATCGTCGTTACAGGTCTTCATTTCCAAAACCTGTTGAAGTAGAGCTCGGTGCTTAGCGTTTCTTCTTTAGGCAACTTGTTCAATATGACATTTTTTTGCAGCTCCTTAAGGATCCTTCTGTTGTTAAAGGTGCTCTTGGTGCGTTGTATCTTTCCTGTGTGTAGCTTCTAATATTTCCTTGACGATGAAACAATAGCGGCAACACGTGTGGTTCCACCTCTGGTCTGGGCTTTGAATTCCCTACTGCCTTTCCAAGGCATCCAAAGGAATGGGTTTTTCATCCTTAAATTGCCTTTTTTAACCACCCAAGGCTTCGTAACCCTTTTTTGTCCCACATCTCTGAAGGCTCTTAAGCTTTTTTTTCCCCCAGAAATTCAGTAACTTTGAGTGAAAATTCCAGGTAGTGACTTTTTTTGTTTTGATGGCTTGAGCTCATACTGTCTATTTAAAAAAAAATATGGAAGAAAGTAGAGGTGAGACACACCACTGATGATTATTTTTAGTTACTAAATCATTATTTTATTTTTTTGTCATGTGTTGTAAGCTCATTTCTGTTAGAATAGCGATTTGCAAATACTCTTCTTCATCTTTTGGAGCAAATTTTTAACAATTGCCCATGATCTATTTGCTACTTTTGCTTGAGCAGAAAGTGATAATCACTTTTTCCAAAAAACAGACCGATAGAGAAATTCTCGTGGAGATATTGAGGATTTCAGGAAACAAAAGCCCTGGTTTGGGCACAAAATAAAACTGTGGAAGATGCTTTCACTGAAAGAACAATTCAAGAAAACCTCCATATTGATTAACTGAGGGTAATAACTTGTTAATGTGCACTACTAAATTGCTAATATAAGCCTTCAGAATAAAGTCAGTGACATTCTGGCCATCTCCCCGCTGTCACTTTACAGCAATTAAATAAAAGAAACATAAAACTGAACATTAACCACCGTATTAAAGGCTACATGAAAAGAACCCGAGAAGCACTTAAGTTAAAGCCAGTGTTTTGCCCTTATTGTTAAATCTCTAAATTTATCCTCCCTCTGATTATACCCTTAGAGCTTGATGGCGCGGGGTGGGTTTTGTGTGTGTGTCTGTGTGTGTCTGTGTGTGTCTGTGTGTGTGTGTGGTGTCTGGGTGGCTTTAAAGAGCACCCAGGTCTCTGCATCTCTGCAGGTATCGGGTATTTCACGCTGACAGCAGCTTTGCACTATAACCCTGGATGAATATTTCGCTGTAATATGAATGTACACGTGCTGCAGGAGGTCTGTGTTGCACACAAATTTTGACTTGCCGCCGGTATTTATTTATTTTGTATTTTAAAAGAAGGTATTTCCAACTTGTTCTGCGATTGAGTGAACTGTATCTAATGCCAAAAAATGTGTTTTGTTTTGTTTTTTGATTGTACATTTGACTGAGGTGATGGGGAAAGTAGGCCTTGGAAGGTGTAAAGGCATTTTTGGCTGCTCCTTTGTCTATTTTTTCCCCAAAAAAGTGCAGATCTAGATCCTGACTGCACTAAATTTGGAGGAGGTCTTGCCTTTTGATCCGTGGGCAGCGGATTAAAACCTTGGGCGTTTGAGATGTTGTTTTTTTTAAATGGCCTACGAGTAGTTCAGGAGAGAACAAGTGACTCGGAACGTAATTTTGAACAAAAACACTGTAAAAAAGCATAGTTTATGTGAAGAGGCCGACTCTGTGTGTGTGTTGTAGCAGGTAGAGTTAAGAGTTATGTCTTGTGAGTTCTATTTGTGCTCCTACAGAGAGCAACATCCCAGAAAAGATCTGCTTTGTGTCCGAAGGTGAACGTTATAAATTCAGTACAGAAGAAAATGGCCGTTTTGTTTTCAAATCGACCTTCTTAGAAGTTGGTAACTGTCTATAGTAGAAATATCTTTAATAAAACAAACCCCGAATATGGGGAGTTGAGTGTCTGGGATTCTCCTCGTCGATAAGAGTTGAGCTACAGTAAGTTGTAGGTGTAGTAGTGCTTTTGGAATGACAGCAACAGGCACCATGTGTTGAATGTATTTTAAAGGGTATAATAACTCTTGCTGTTTTGAAGCTGCTGCTACTGTTGTTTTCCTACTGTATTGGAACTGTTTGATATATTTATACTGTTCCTTTTGTGGAACCTTTCTCTCTTCCCTCTCCTCTTGCTTCCCTTTCTCCAGTTACTGTGAAGGACTGTCATTCTCTTATTTCCTTGCCCTATAACTTCGTTAGACGCCGTGTTATGAGTTTATTTGGCTCGTGTACAATCTCCTTTGGGTTCTCAGCTGCTCTTTACCACTTTTCAGATAAGAACAAAGGCTTTTCAGACACGAGTAGGGAGCAGGGAACAGATCAAAGTGCGCTGCGGGTGCTGTTTACGAGACTCTTCCAGTTAAAATACGCCTTTTCAAAGGTTGGTCTGTGGCAAGTCATTGGCGTAAAACTCTAATCATACGGTCAATGATCTGTTTGTAGCATTTGCTAATAAAATTAGGAGGGCTTGTTTTTGTCTTTTTTTCTCTTTTTGATGTGACAGGTTTCATCTCTTGTCTCACTCGGACTTTGGTAAAGTTGTGTTTCTGTGGGGCTGGGACAGGACCTTTAATAAGTACAAGGTTGAACGTTGATGATAAAGAGGTTGTAGTTGAATATTTTATTCTGGTTGTGATACAGCATCTGGTTTGTGGTTTAAATAACTTCAAGTGTGATTGGTGTCTCTCCTTCTGCACCTCCAAAGGATTCTTCCTGACGTGGCTCGAGTTGGTGGAGGAGGAGGAGGGAGGGTGTTTAACGTGGAACAGTTTGACTGGCAGCTGTAGCTACAGCCCGTGATGGTGTAGCTCCTGCTCCATGTTTGCCATGGTGTCCTGTCTGGGTGCTGAGCCAGTCCTACCATCCCTGTCCTCCCCCTGCATCCCAGCAGGATGCGGCTCCGAGGAGCCAGCTTTCCCTTGGGCTGCAGGAGAATTGGGACCTTGCCTGAGCAGGTCTCTAATTCCCTTAATTTTAAATACCCAGCTCTTCCTTCTAAGGAGGGGAAACGCTTCTTTGTGTCATCCACAGAGAGAATTAAGAAATAAAATTCTCTGTATTTCTGTTGCAGACCTTGAGGTGCGTTACGATGTGCAGGACGCCCTGATGGGCAGCTCCTGATGGCACGTGTCCATGTCTCTAGCTGGAGGAAACCTGGACATTGAAATTCCTGGTGTTATTCCCTGATTTAGCAGTACTCTGATAGCTCTTTGTGTCCCCACTTTGGCTCCTGAAGCGTTAGGGGTTTCTGTTTTAGGAAAGAGACTGTGTTTGTTTGAGTATTGAGGGGGAAGCCACGAGGTGGAACGATGGTTTCTGCCACTTGGGACAGGGTGGGATGGGTGGTTGGCTTCAGAAAGCACATGGATATTCTCTTTAATTTTAAAACTAATACTGACATCACTTCATTTTGTCTTTCCACTGGTTTTTGCCCTCTTTTCTCCCCAAAAAATTGGGGTGTGTGTGCATGGGTAGAGTCCACCTTCATACTGACATAACTTCATTTTGTCTTTCCCGCTGGTTTTTGCCCTCTTTTCTCACCCCAAAATCGGGGTGTGTGTGCATGGGTAGAGTCCACCTTGATACCCAGATCATTTTCCACCTTCCCCTGCCCTTTCTCTGCTCAAGAGTGGCTTCCTACGAGGTGATGGAAGGACCTGCAGCGGCATCGTTCTTCTCTAGATCCTGGGGAGGTCTGGATCCGTGCTCTTGTTTACCCGGTGTCTGTTTTTTCTGTAAAACTAGGGCATATTACAACTCCAGAGTGAGAATTTGCACTTTTCTGAAGTATTTCCGTGTGTGTAGCTACGTGGATTTAGCCGAATGAAGTGTTATAAGTAATAAAATATTCTCTTCGTAGTAGCAATCCTTTGTGTTTCTTCTCTCTTCTTTAGTCAAACGCTTGCTCCAAAAACTGAGCTGGTGGTAACTGTCACGGAATCCCAGAATGATCTGGGGTTGGCAGGGACCTCTGGAGATCATCCAGTCCAACCCCCTGCCAGAGCAGGGCCACCCAGAGCAGGTCCCACAGGAACGTGTCCAGGTGGGGTTTGAATGTCTCCAGAGAAGGAGACTCCACCACCTCTCTGGGCAGCCTCTTCCAGGGCTTTGCCACCCTCACAGGGAAGAAGTTCCTCTTCATGTTTAGATGGAACTTCTTATGTTCAAGTTTGTGCCCATTTCCTCTTGTCCTGTCCCTGGGCACCACTGAAAAAAGACTGGCCCCATCCTCCTGACACCCACCCTTGAAGGATTTAGAGGTGTTGATCAGATCCCCCCTCAGCCTTCTCTTCTCCAGACTAAACAGACCCAAGTCCCTCAGCCTTTCCTCAGCAGAGAGATGCTCCAGGCCCCTCATCATCTCTGTAGCCCTCTGCTGTCCCCTCTCCAGCAGTTCCCTGTCCTTCTGGAACTGGGGAGCCCAGAACTGGTCCCGGTGCTCCAGCTGGGGCCTCCCCAGGGCAGAGCAGAGGGGCAGGATGACCTCCCTCCACCTGCTGCTCCCACTCTTCTTGATGCCCCCCAGGATGCCCTTGGCCTTCTTGGCCACCAGGGCCTATTGCTGGCTCCTGGGCATCCTGTTGTCCCCCAGGACTCCCTGGTCTTTTTCTTCAGAGCTGCTCTCCAGCAGGTCACCCCCAACCTGTCCTGGTGCAGAAGGTTATTCCTCCCCAGGTGCAACTGTCCCTGAGTTGGTGTGGGAGGAACTCGGGTACCTGAAGCCCTGGGAACAACGGAGATTCCTGAAGAACCTCCTCACTCAGAGGCTCATCCTGATGATGGTGCTAAATGAGATCTCTCCTGTGGCATGGTTTCCAAGGGGCCCAGCACTGGAGGTGACCCAGGGCATGACACCGAGGACCAGTTGTCCCCTGAAGTCACCACTGATGCCACCACGGAGCAAGTGGGAAGGGAGGTGGATGTTTGGGACACAAGCCGGAATGAGGAGAGGTTGGGATTTGGGGGGTGAAGTTGCTTCAGGAAGAGCAACCTCCCAGAAGGTAGGAGGTGAGGGGACGGGAGGAGACCTGAGGTGACAGTGGGTCCAAGCTGGGGGTGACACTCGCCCCAAAGAAAGGTCTCAGCTCCATAAAGTGCCACCAGGAAAGCTGGTGGGGCAGAGGGACCCTCTCACTGGTCCCTCTGTCCTCAGGAGATCACCCCTCGCTCAGGATTTTATGGGGTTCTTATGTTTATTATTAATTAAACTCCGAAGCAGGGATTGATCTCACCCCAGCTTGGATTTAATATTAAATTTAATTAAAGTTGATAAAAGATGGTTCCTGGGGGCACAGCAGCGTGTCCAGGAGGGTTCCCCATCCCTCCAGTGATGGCTGCAGGCTTCACTCTGGGGTGGTTTCTGTAGGAATCATTGGGTTTTTTTCCTCCTTCCTCCACATCAGAGCCTCTCTCCTCCTCCCAGCTCACCCCAGTTAGCTCCCAGTTATCCCCTGGTGCCACGCTGGCCGGGATGGTGCTTCCCAAGGAGAGACTTTTCCGTAGCCCCGAAGCCTTCAGATGGGTTGTCAAATGAGAAAACAGCAGAAGGACCTGGAGATGAGTTGGGGGGGAATTTATTTGGGTTGGGGGGTGCGATGGTGTCACCCACGGACACAGCGGGGACAGGGGACCGGTTGGGTCATCGGTGGTTGAACCTCCTCGGTCTCCACCGCTCTGTAATTACAGGAACGGGCGCTGGATGTCACCACCAGCCCGTGCAGAGCCCAACTGGCCCGCTCCACCTCCCCCACCCCCGAGGTGTGGGGACAACCAAGGGACAGCCCGGGCACCCCCCCTTGGGGTTTGGAGCTGGGGTGGGGTGTCCTTCAGTAGGGATGGGGGGAGACCATGGGGCCAGGCTCATGGGGACATCTCCAAGACCAGCAGGACACATCTTCCTCCAGGATCCATGGAGGTGGTTCTGGGGACCAGAGCATCTTGTGGAGGTCCCAAGGTCCATCCCTGCTACTGGTGGACCAGCAGGAGACATCCTCCTCCAGGACACATGGAGATGGTTCTGGGGACCAGAGCATCTTGTGAAAAAAGACTGGCCCCGTCCATCCTGACAGGCCCCATCCACCCTGACCAGCAGGAGACATCCTCCTCCAGGACACATGGAGAGTGGTTCTAGGGGCCAGAGCATCTTGTGGAGGTCCCAAGGTCCATCCCTGCTACTGGTGGACCAGCAGGAGACATCCTCCTCCAGGACACGTGGAAAGTGTTTCTAGGGGCCAGAGGATCTTGTGGAGGTCCCAAGGTCCATCCCTGCTACTGGTGGACCAGCAGGAGACATCCTCCTCCAGGACACATGGACAGTGGTTCTAGGGACCAGAGCATCTTGTGGAGGTCCCAAGGTCCATCCCTGCTACTGATGGACCAGCAGGAGACATCCTCCTCCAGGACACGTGGAAAGTGTTTCTAGGGGCCAGAGGATCTTGTGCAGGTCCCAAGGTCCATCCTTGCTACTGGTGGACCAGCAGGAGACATCCTCCTCTAGGACACATGGAGAGTGGTTCTAGGGACCAGAGCATCTTGTGGAGGTCCCAAGGTCCATCCCTGCTACTGGTGGACCCGGGGACATCATTCCGGGAGCAGCCGCGGTCGCTGGAGGCTGGTGAGTCCTGGTTTTACATTCAGGTTCTGCCAATTTAAATGTTAATTTAGTAACTAAATTAATTACCAATGTGCCAAGCCCAGCCCGTGCGGCCTGTCCCATGGGCTCAGCTCTCCGGGGACTCCTGAGACATCTCAGGAGCTTGTGTTTCCTCCTGGTGGTTGGATCCATCTCGCCATGGGAGGACACGGCTGGTGGCCTGGTGCTGGTGGGGGTTGTGGGGCTGGTGTCCATATCAGGGCAGCAAGAAGCGATGAGGGTTTCTTCCTCCCATCA